TCGGGAGTGACTTCAATACTGAGTTAAAAAGGAGTTCGGGGGCCATACTCTTGGGGTTTCTCCAGTTTCTGTCAGACCAGTAAGTCTGGTCTTTTTTTGTGAGTTAGAATTTTGTTCTACATTTTTCTCCAGCTCTGTTAAACAGGTTAATTCTTAATTCCATTTTACTTACCTCTCTAGTGTGGTCTCAGATCTTACCATTCCACTCCCTGACATTTCCTTATAAAAATCAAGTCAAATCAATTCACTTGCAGTTTTTCAAACACGTCAAGCCCTCTACTGCTTCAGCACATGCTGTTACCTTACTAACTCTCTCTATCCTTCCTTAAGATGGCTTAAGAATTGTTTCCCAAAGAGGAAGGACGTCTTTCCTTTCCAAAGGATTTAAATGCCTGTCCTTTGTGCTCCCAAAGAATCCAGTTTATTCCTCCCTGAGGGCACTCATCTCCCATCTCCACTGACTAAAAGCTCCAAAAGGACACACCGTGTTTCTGAAACCTAGGTCTCTTTGATCAGAGGATCTGAGCCTTTCACCACTACATGTACCACATCTGTGTGGAAAGGCTAATGTTGGGTCCACATGGTATTTTCAGAGGAACAGTATTCATACCATTTTCAAGCTAGAAGGAAACTTAGATGTTATTAAATCCGACTTCCATTTTATATATGAGGAAACCCAAGCCCAAAGACACAGTGGCTTACCCACAGTGCCTCAGGAAGTTAGTGGGCACCACTGTTCCGGATAGTTTCCCCATACCACTGTGAGTGCCTTCAAGACTTTAAAAAGCCTGAAATCTCCAAGGTGAATACAACAAGCAGATGGAAGGAGAGAGAAATAACATCTTTCTGCTGGGGTGGGGTGTGCGTAGGGAGGGTAATCAGGGTTGTGTACAATAACAGTTCTTGACATTTTTGGTCTTAGGGACTCCTTTACAAAAATTGTTTATTGCAAACTCCAAACAGCTTGTGTTTTTTTGCAGTTGTATCTATTGCTATTTATCACATTAAAAATTAAAACTGAGAACATTTAAGATATTTATTAATTTACTTAAAAGTAAACAGTAAGCCCATTACATGTTATATTTTTATAAAAATAGATTTTCCAAAACAAACGTAGTGAGAAGAGTGGCATTTGTTTTACTTTGTTGCAAATCTCTTTAATCTCTGGTTTAACAGAGGACAGCTGGATTCCCACATACACTGCTGCACTCAAACTCCTGAGTTATGTTGTATTGGTTGAAACTTTAGAAGAGAATCTGGTCACATGCGGACATATAGTTGGAAAAGAGAGGAGTATTTTAATAGTCTTAGATAATTGTGGCTATTCTTTGACATGACATCAAAACTCAACAAGTGGTAGCTTCTTAAAAGTCAGTTACAATGTGGAAACTGAAATTGTATCAATGAATTTTTAGTACTCTGCTACTTTAATATCCATTGCTCTATCCTGCACTTTAAGTAGATCTTTGCATCCATGCAAAAATTTTGTAACATTACAAATTGGTTGTTTGGCAAAACTGGTTTGCTGTATCATACAGACCTCCCTGATACTGTCATACCTCATTATAGAGTATAAAAAATGTCACTTGCTAATATCACCACTAATCTCATCAGGAAAGTCTTTAAGTATTAGGAAAGCTGTCATGCTCACAGTGGTGGATACAAGTTTTCCAAAATTCTAATTTTTTGCTTGAAAACTTGAATTTTATCACTGGCAACAAATATTGTCAGTTATTTTCCTGAAGGTAAATCACTTTGTTAATTTTCGAGACAATGTATGCCAAACATTCAAGGTGGAATAACTACACTTTGTCCGTCAGCTGTTCTTGTAAGCAAAAATGGGTTCCACAAAAAGTGGCTTGCTCAGCTTATAACCTGGACAATTACACAAGTACTGCTTCTTCGAGGAAATCATTACACAAAATTGACTCGATGGCAGTGGGTTTGGTTTTTTTGGTTTAGGTAGCATAAGTGCTTTAGGGTACTTCCCATTTAGTCACACAGTATATTAAAAAGATGTGTTTTCAAGGGCAGAGAGCAATAAAATTAATTTTTACTGCCTTCAATCAAGGACATTAAGTGAAACTGGCTTTTTTTTTTTTTTTTAAACTCTGAGTGCATGGCACCACTGCTTTGAATTGTGCTAAGGTGCCAGCAGTTTTACCTAACATTGCTTTTGTACCACTGGTGCAAATTATCAACACAATGAAAAAGGAAATTAACATCTTAGTGCCATGAAAATAGGTTTGAACCCACAGACTCCCTGAAAGATCCTTGGGGACTCCTCTGAGAGGGCACCACACTTTAGAACCCCTGGTATACAAGACATAGGCTTGAAAAAATGAATAGGATTTTGATTGAATATGGTGAGGGAAGGTGGGATTAAGAAAGCAGTGAAACTTGAGGTGTATCTGAGGAACAATGAGTGGGCAGTTTGGTTGGAGGAGGAGAAAAGCAGAAACAGATGAAGCTGAAAAGATACTGTAATGCCTTCATGAGAACCCCAATTAGGTTTAAGCCAGGCAGGAAGAGGAGGGTGGCAGGCTAGTGGGACTTAAAAAACAAAAACAAAAAACCAACAGCTTCAATTTATATAAAATAAAGCTGGCCATGTTTACATCCACTCGTTACAAAACAAAAACGATAGCACTGCCGTTTTTCTCATAGGGAATGTTCAGGGAATGACTAAATAATGTGGTTAAATGCTTTGCTGTTAAGGAACGTGCTGCATTATTTAATTTAGACAGTATTCATTTTACAATTTAAATCAATGAGACATTTACTGAGGACTTATTCTGAATCAAACACTATGCTAGTCACTTTTCATACACGATCTCATTTAATCCTTATAAGCTTACTAAAGAGATATAACCAATCATATAGATGAGGCAATGAAGGCTAAAAAGTCAACTAACTTTCCAAGGGACATGACTCTCAACTTCATGTCATTCATTATCTCAGGCATTTGGGGAAAGTCTGAAAACAAATGTAATTATCATTCATAAATGTTTATATCTCATGCAATCTTTTCAAACAGGGCACAAAATGGCTGTCACAAAACCAAAGAAAAATACTAAGATGTGAAGCCCCTAAAGATGTTGTATATTTTTGAATTTTTTCTTTCCTTGAGGAATTATTTAAACAGTAGATAAACCTGACTAACGGGAGTAGTATGTTGGCTGATAGGTATTTTGTAAAAACGTTAACAGCTGAGAAAAACCAGATTTGAACTATATTGCTAAGCTTTATCATAGTATTACTGGATACAAAGACTTATTTTTTTCTTCTTCATATTTTCTTTTATATTAGGTCAGTAAGAAAAGGAGGGAAAGTAATTCAAATTTACAGACTGATGCCACTTTCCTTTGCCCAAGAAAAGAGGTTTACTAACAACAACAGGGTCTAGGTATATGCTACCATATCAACATGGTTTGTTCTTTCAGTATTTTCACCTGCTCCTTTGAATACCCATGCTGTTTTACACATGCACGTACACACACATACACACACCACACAGAGTTAAATTTATGGCCTGCCCCTCCCCCTCAATGTAAATAAATTCTCTGTTCAACTGGATGGTTGCACATCCTTTTTTGTTGATATTTTAAAAGAAATTACCAAAATTACTTCAAATTAATCCTCAATGAATATTTTACTATAAAAATACAGAAAATGTAACTAAATACGGAGTAAGGCTATTTATTATTCATTCATTTCTAGGCAGGATAATGGTCTGAGAGTATGATACAGTTCAAATAATGTATCTACCTGGGCTGACATAAGATAGATACTTGCTGAAGGTACAAAATTATTATAAATTTTGAAAACACACAGGCAAAACAACTTGGAAGTTTTATTGACTTTGCATTTTTAAATTACAGTTGATTGGAAACTGTGCTTGTCTTCTACATTGATACTAAAGTAGTTGCATTTTGCCTTAAATTACAATCTGTAGTAATTTATCTATTTGTATGAAAACATAATATTCTTCCTACATTTTAGACAAAATAGCACAACACTAAAAAGCTTATGAAGTGAATTACCAATAAAAATATGACTCATATACATTTCTGACATTAGGAAATTATTATTATAATAATCGCATTGTGGAATGCCAAATATGTGCAATGCAATCAACTTACAAGATAGTTATAATGAAATAATAAAAAAAGAAAAAAAAAAAAAAACAGGACAATTTTTGCCTCTCCCAAGTAGAGGCAAAGTAGGTTAACAGAAACAATCTTTTCAAATTAATGATTTAGTGAATTTGCTCATTTGAGCAAACAGAAAACACCAGTACTGTGATTAAAGTGCCAAATTTTAATGGATTCTCAATGTGTAGATCTTTGTTGCTCTGCTATGTTTCGTATACAATTACAATGAAATAAATTTTAGGGAGTAAAAAATTTTTAATTGAAAGGTAAAATCTGTAAAAATATCCTTAACACAAAAATATGAGCATCTGCCACTATGAGAGTGTTCTGTTGCAATGTTAGACCTACCAGAGCAAGTTATACAAGTATGCAAATGTGTCATGGCTAGGAAAAGGATTCTAATGATCAGATCTCTACAATTACTCCCTTTCAGAGGGCCCTGTGTTACACATTTGAGCTATATGTTAGACACATGTGGTAAAGAGCTTTTGGCAGACTGGAAAGCCCCTAGAATCCTTAATGCGGCTGGGAGATGGTAATTTTTAAGTAACTGATTTCCTGAAAGTCCTGCTGTTATAGGGATCTCCAGTCTCAATGATGGTAAGGAGCCCGACAGGTTACGTGCTGGTTCATCCCTGCTTTATTTCTGTTTTCATGCACTGAGCTAACAGTTTGTTTACCTGATCCTACCAGACAAGTCAATAGGCTGCCTAAGAAAATGTCTTACTTGCAGTTCACTTCACTTCATGGGGACTTATGCATTAAAGGCAAAGTACTTGGAAAATTCAATGAACTGTTTTCTGTATTAGGATTTTTCTTTGTGGTTTTAGGTGTATCAAAAAAAAATTTTTTTTTTATAAATGAATATTTGCTAAAATAGCAAACTAAATACTTGACTTTTCATATCTAAATGAAGAAAAACTAAAAGTAGTATCATGTATTTATCATTATTGTGCCATGGTATCATTTTGAGTCGGCGAGGTAAGATCAGATATAGGCAGTGTTTTTACAATATACCTGTACTACTGAAAACCCCTTGGTTAGCCACTGATCACTTGGTTTCAGCCATGTTTAATTATGATTTTTGGCAACAACAGATGTGCCTGTGGGAGGGATGGAGACACCCCTACAATGAGCTCTCTGCAATGGTCGGCTTTATCCTCTTTAATGGCTATAAATGAGGAATGTTTATGTTAAGTGTATTAGCAGTCAATAATATTGTTGTTGCTAATGAAAGGTTATGTATTGTATGAAACTCCATAATTAAACTGCCATTTAACAGCACATAGGCTAGCAAAGAAGAATTTGGTTAACTTGTTACCTTAGTAAGTAAAATGTCCACATAGCAAAAAGGAATAATTCCCAAGTGCTGAAGTACATTATTTCCTCCAGTCCATCTGGTCTTCAAAAATTTGTAGAGTTACTAAATGAAATTCACCGCCTCTTTCCAAACGGCATGCTATTTCTATGTACCTTTACCTAAATAGCAACACAATTACCGGAAACTGCTCTCATGAATACATTTGTCTGAATGTGAAAAATCTCCATCCTTAATGTTTACCACAAACCCAACGAAGTTGATGATCCATCCGAAGGTCAGTCAATTCTTCAACAGTTCTCCAGCTACACTGGCAAGCATATGCCCGTGCTCCTTTCTTCTTTACCAACTTTGTTTTTAATTTGTGGAATTCTGGCATGTTGTTCCTATTAGTAAAACATGAAGGTTTTAGCAAAGGGCTTTGTGCAGTGTTTAATGACTTAAAAAAAAGATGTTACAGTTGATTTATTATCTTATCTTTACAGCTCCTGAACACTAAACAACCTTGGTCCCCTCACACTAACAACAAAAGATATACTGAGGTGTTTTCTTTCTGGTGGTATTTCTTTGCTATTTAGTACTTTTGAATGGCAATCCTCTAGGCCTATTTATTAAGGATATTGTAGAACACAATGACCTAAAGGGCTGAAGAATTACTGATTTGTCCTTTCGGAGATATGGTATGAGAACAGAGTGGGAAGGATGGTGTTTTGTCTCCTATCTCAGAGACTCAGATGAGCATCTGCCACTATGAGACTTTAAAAGCCTGCAATATGGCAAAGGGAGGGGGTGTAGCAGACATAAAGACAACAGGCTTCTGATGAATAAACTACAGAAATTTTTCATTAATAGGGAAATGTGCCTGTTATTTGTGTGTGGTGAACTCAAGTTGTATCTTTCATTTGCTTCAACCATCTACTTATTTACTATCTGGAAGAAAATAAATGCCTATCCTGAAACAAATGTTAATAATGTTAAAATAATTAAACCATATAAGAAATGGTAACTGTTATGGACTGCATTGTGTCTCCCCAATATATGTGTTGAATTTCTCGTCCTGTACCTGTGGAAGTGATCATGTTTAGAAATAGAGTTTTCTTTTGTTGTGTTAACGAAGTCATACCAGAGTAGGGTGGGTCTTAAATCTAATCACTTCTGAGATAAAAAAGCAGAATATACACAGATACAACAGCAGAATATGCCATATGAAGACAGATGTACGCAGCAGATGCATCTACAAGCCCAGGAACTCCAAGGATTGCTGGCTACTAGAAGCTGAAATGGACAGAGGAGGATGTCCTTCTAGAGCCGTGCCCTGAATTTGGACAGTGAGAAAATAAATTTCTGTTCTTTGAAGTCACCTACTGTGGTATTTCTGTTATGGGAGCACTAGGTAACTACGACAGTAACCATTTAATACTATTATATATATACATATTAAAAAAAATTGAAGTTAATTTAACTAATTGAACATAGATGATGATTTTCATGATAAACTATGTACTGAGTTTATGTAAACATTCCACGGCAGAATAAAAATGGAAAATTTACAAAAGTGATGAAACAAAGTGAAATGATAAAATACAGCATAAATATAAAGGAGATACAGTGTGATCCATTACTTGTTGATGTCACTGCAATAGAAGGGAGGTTACAAAGTGCCCTCTGGTGGTCAATGGGCACCACATTCAGTACTGTAGTACTAAATTCAGACACAATTTAGAAGGTTAGAACCTAACAGAATCTGAGAGATTTTCCAGGCCAAGTATCTGGTTTCAGAAAACGGGGGCTGTGACCAGCTAAGTGACTTACCTAGGGTTACGGTGAGCGAGGGGAATTGTATAATTTAAATTTTATCGGGAAAAAAAATTAAGTTGGTTAAATTAAAGAAAATGTCCCTTATTCAATCTGCAATATATTTTGACAAATTTAACATTTAATACTTAACTGAATCCTTAATGAGGGATTGCATGAATAGGAATCATGAAGGGCCAGGCAACTAGTATGTTTCAAATGCTTTTTAAGAAGCACATATTTAAAAAATTATTCCATTATTTTCCACAAGGAAAACATAGGATTTATTGGAAAATAAAAGCATCTTATTTAGTTATTGTGTCTGGGTGGTCAATAAGTATAGCTTATTCCTCTTTAGAAAGTTCTAGAACTTGTCTAAGCTAGACTACACTTACTTCCCTCACCTATAAAAGAAAGACAATAATACAAACTGCACAGTGTTTCAGTGGATAACATGTGCAGATCACTAACACTAAAAATAAATGGCTCCCCACATTCTGTTGGACATTCAATGGCACTCAGCAAATCTTATAACTTGCTTTGGTCACTACCTATTCTTAGCTTCTCCCCGAGACTATTCCCCACTCTCCTAAAGTGTTTAATCTACCTCCACTCCCTTACTTACAGCGATCACACCCTCATTCACAAAATCAGGCCACCAGATGTGAAAATCATCAATTTTCCAGCTTTCAGTATCTTACCTCCTTCCACCCAATCACAGAGGAGGTGGCCCTCCTCCTCCTTCCAAGGCTGGATTTCCACTGGCGCTCTGGACCCCATTGCCTCTGGGAGCTTGTTACTCACATGCCCTTCCCCTCTCATGTCTTCCATCTTTCCTACTCCTTACAATAGAAACATCCAAGTATCTCCTATCTTAACAAAATGACCTCTAAACACTGCATTCCCTTCAGTCTTCCATGTGGCCCTTCTGGGTAATATTCAATCTCATGGCTTCAACTACTGCTTTACAGATTTTATTTCCTGAGCTTCAAAGCCACAGTTTCAATAGCTAGCTGGACAACAGCCACCTCCTATAAATGAACACAGAACCTCTTCCTTCAAATCTGTTCTTAAATACCCTCTATCAACGGGCAGTACCATTGTCCATCTATGTAAACCAAGACAGAAACCTAGGATTCATGCTAGATAATATCTGTCTCTCACTTTCCACAGCCAGGACTGCCTCTAAGTATCTCTCAAATACATCTACTCTTCTTTACCCTCCTCACTATCACAATTCAGATCCTCATTTCTGTCCCACTGGACTACCACAACATCTTTTCATTAGTCTCCATAATTCTAAGCTGGCCTGGTTCCCATACAGTAACTCCCCAAACATGCCATTTGGTTTCACCTCTCTGTGCCTTTAAGAATACCTCCCTAAAAGAGAATCAGTCTCCATTCTCATTTGTCAGGCAAATTCCTAATGATACTTTAAGACTCTAAGAGGCCTTGCCTGATGCCTCAGGGTAGAGTGTACAGACTTTACCTTCTGATATCACTCTTCTTTTACTTAACTCTACCACCACACTTACTGTACAACACTGGGTTTATTCTTATGCCTCTCTCCCTCTCAAAATTATGCATTACTTAAGAGTAGAAACTGGGTCCTACTCATCTTGTGTGCCCAGTATCTAAGGATGCCACAGACTAGGTGCTGAATAATGCCTGTTGGATAAATAAATGCTAATAATCACTACAAAATAAGAAAATATGCCATCAGTGACTTACATCCTGATCATGGTGACAGCCTTATTCTGTAGCTGCTCCATTCTCTTATCTCGAAAACAATTTCTAAAGCATCTTGAGGGCTGAGAATTTTCTATTGATTTACATAATTACTTGTTTGTTTCTAATAATATAATAAATCTTGTTGTTGTTTTATTTAAAAATAAGTATTTTTTTTTTTTAACCAGGCTGCCGCGAATCTAGAGTAAACCAGCTGATGGTCTTGATGAGTCTGGGGCACTGAAAGTTCCTCAAGTACCAACAAAATCACCAGTGAGCTATGTCTGTGCTCACCATAGTTTTGACGTGACATGCATTATATTATCCTAGTTTTAGAAAAAATGATGGCTTATCTTGTGACATGCAGGGATTATTAATCATTTATTAGATTAACCAGAAGGTAGTGAGTAGTAGAGATTAGAGAAGTCAAAAAAGACTCATAAAAGACAAAATAAACCTGACATTAAAGCTAATTTTTCCAACTATAAGATTAAAAAGTGAGCTAACACAAACCTAACGAATGGGGGTTCCTGACCTGGGATTTTGGAATTGCACTAGGCTTTGTTTAGGTTGGGGACTGTGAAACCTCCCGAATTGTCATTTTTCCACGTATTTGTATATTTAAATTTTTCTCGTGGAGAGGATTCAAAGCTTTCATAAGATTTTCAGAGCAGTTCCCAATGTGAAATAGTTTGTTTTTGTTAGCTGCCAAGGAGCCAGCCCTCGACTCAGGGAGACCCCCTGTACAACGGACTGGACGATTGTGATCCGTGGGGTTTTCACTGGCTGATTTTCAGAAGTAGATTGCCAGGTCTATCTTAGTCTGGAAGCTCTGATTTTCAGGAACAGATCACCCGATCTGTCTTAGTCTGGAAGCTGTGCTGAGACCTGCTCAGTATCATAGCAACATGCAAGCCTCCACTGACACATGGGTGGTGACTGTGCTTGAGGTGCATTGGCTGGGAATCGAACCCAGGTCTCCTGGATGGAAGGTGAGAATTCACCACTGAATTACCACTGCCCCCATGAAAAAGTTAAAAAGCTATTAAATTAGGGGAGACTTTCCTATGGATTTATATGAGAGTAGCTAGAGATGTTAAAAGATGTATGGAAGAGAGATCTCACGCTTTTCTTCACACTCTTGAAAAATGCTGCAATATATTCTGAATACTTCTATCTGAAAATATAGTCTGTTTTTAGGCACAGGCTGGGGGGGGCAAAAATGCATGATATATGTACTTTATTCATTTTTAGCTGTTAATTTTTATTTGAAAATGTAAATGTATAATTCAAATACATTTTTATAACTTGTAACATCTTTAAAAATTAGGTATTCCGTTAAGTATATAAGGATGTACAAATTACAAAAATATGTGTAAGACACCATTATCGACAATAACAAGGACAGCAGACATCTACCAACCTAAGACCTTCAATCCTATATTACACTAAGTGCTCTAACAGGTACAAAGTGCTGTGTGTACACAGGAAACGAAGAGTTTACTTCCAAGTTGAGAGGGTGGTGAGGGAATCATAGGTGTGTGATGAATTGTACCCTGAGAGACAGGTAGGGTTTAGATAGATAAAATGGTGGGAAGGTGTCCTAGGAGGTGACAAGCTTGTGCAAAGTCATAGGGAATGGGAGCACTGAGTAATTTAGTGTCATGAAAATCTTTTGAGTGTGAAAAGCATATTGTGGAAAGACAAGGCTGGATGATGGATAGAGGGGGACTGAATCAGGACAGTGTGAATGCCAGGCTAAAGAACTTGGACATTATTATCTAAGCAGAAGGGTGTTGGGTAGGAGAATGGCATACCGAGAGCTATGCTTTAAGACAGCTCTGAAAAAGGGAAAGACGATCTGAAAGGGGACAGAATGTAGACAGAAAAATCAGTTGAGGAGGCTACCGCTATATTCTCATTTAGAGGTAATAAAGTTCTTATTGAGGCAGACAGCTGAGAAATGTCAAGGAGATGGGTGAGAAAAACACTGCAGAGGTGAAGTTCACATGATCTGGCAAACTCCACCAAGAGACATTATAAGAAAATAAGAAATATACAGTTGTACTTGGTACATTTTTCACAGAGTGAAGTTCTTTAGAAACATACCTGAAAAACAAATAATCACATGATTTGTCCCACATATAGTCATCGTAACTTACTATCCGGAAATCACAGGCTATACAACGTAGATGGTCACATGCTCTGTTCAAAGGAAAAGAATCAAACATAAAATATTATTTGTGTTTAATAATGATAACAGAGTGATTCATTCATACCATCTAATTTAGTTATTATGAATACCACGTATTACAGATTACTGAACAACAACATAAAAGTAAAGATTAACTTGATTTAAAATTTTTGTGTTAAAGGACTAATTACATTTTCAGATTAAATTTTTGCACAATTATTTGTTTTACTGAGATCTTGCACACTGATACATATATGAATACATGTATGTTGTACAGATATAAAAGAAACAAAATGGCTTTGTAGATCTTTTAGTTAAATGGTTTTCAAATTGTGTCTAAAAGAGATCTTCAGTTAAGCTTACTTCTTTACACTTCTTTTCTATTGAAATTTCCTGTGATGGTTTTGCACCACCTAGAGGAGTTTCCAAATTTTAAGGGATGCCTCTCTCACAGATTTGTCATGTTATATTGAAACAGATGTTTCCCCCATAAGCTACTTCAGTGTTGGGACACTATCTTACTAGTTTTTGTTTCCCTACTACTTGGTATAGTGTGTCCATTAACTCATTTAAAAAATATTCACTGAAATCCTACAGCTAGGCATAGTTCTAGGAATTTGGGATATATCAGTAAACAAAACTGACAAAGATTCTGTCTTCGTGGAGCTTAGATTCTAGTGAGAGAGGAAGTAAGCAATAATCCTAATAGCTAAATCATGTAGTATGCTTGAAGGTGAAAAGTGGTTTGAATGAAATAAAAAAGTAGAGTAGGGTAAAGAAAACTGAGAGTGCTGGGAGTGAGTCGGTTGCAATTTTAAACAGGGTGGTTGGCATATACCTCACTGAGAAGGTGTATCTGAGCAGTTTCTTTAAATAGAGTGATAGCTGTCAGAAGTGGGGTTAAGCTTATGTTTAAAAAGGGAGAAAAAAACAACGTGCTTGCATGCGGAAGGGGAGGATCCAATGCAGAACAAAACTCTGATGATATAGGAGAGAGTGGGTAGAACTGCTAGAATGATACTTGACGAACAATAGGTCTTCAATGAACGTCTGGGGAATTGAAATTCCAAGGAATTTTCAAAGCAAAATTATGCATATATTACACAGTAACTTCAAGGAGTAAAATGAAAATATACAGCAAGTTAAAAAAGAATCGTGAATTGCTGCTGCAAACAATTTAGTTTGTATAATAATTTTGATTTTCTTCAAGGAAAGAAATCACCTCCATTGTTTGAAATGTTTAAAAACCAGAATCAATATAGATACATCTGATCATCTAAAAATTAAAAATAAGAATTTTTTAAAACACCAAAAACAAAGTGATAGATGGGAAGAAGACATTTTCAACACACAGCTGAATATTTATACTATAAAGAGTGCTTACCAACGATAACAAAGGAAAACAAACCTTATAGAAAACTGGGCAAAGGATATAAACAGGAAATTTATGAATAATAAAGATAAAAATATTCTCAATCTCACTGGTAAAGGCAGCATGGAATAGTAGTAGAGTATGGACTCTGGACACGGATTGCCTGGGTTCAAAATGCTGATTCCACTAGCTGTGTAATTACAGTCAAGTAACTTAACTTCACTGTGACTATCTGTAAAAAGGGGCCAGTAACAGCACTTATACACCTCACAGAATTATTATGAGGACCTAATGAATTAATATTGATAAAAAGTGATTATAATACTACCTGGCGCTTGTTGTTGTTGTTGTTGTTAGGTGCTGTCAAGTCGGTTCCAACTCATAGCGATCCTACATACAACAAAATGAAACTCTGCCTGGTCCTGCGCCATCCTCACAATTGTTGCTATCTTTGAGCCCATTGTCAGCAGCCACTGTGTCAATCCATCTCGTCGAGGGTCTTCCTGTTTTTCATTGACCCTCTACTTTACCAAGCACGATGTCCTTCTCCAGGGACTAGTCCCTCCTGATAACATGTCCAAAGTACATGAGATGAAGTCTCAGCCATCCTCACTTCCCAGGAGCACTTTGGCTGTATTTCTTCCAAGACAGATTTGTTTGTTCTTCTGTCAGTCCATGGTACATTCAATATTCTTCGCCAACACCATAATTCAAAGGCATCAATTCTTTTTCAGTCTTCCTTATTCATTGTCCAGCTTTTGTACGCGTATGAGGTGACTGAAAATACCACGGCTTGGGTCAAGTGTACCTTAGTCCTCAAAGTGACATCTTTGCTTTTTAACACTTTAAAGAGCTCTTTTGCAGCAGATTTGCCCAATGTAATATATCACTTGATTTCTTGACTGAGGCTTCCACGGGTATTGATTGTGGATCCAGTAAAATGAAAGCCTTCACAATGTCAATCTTTTCTCCATTTATCATGATGTTGCTTATTGGTCCAGTTGTGAGGATTTTTGTTTTCTTTACGTTGAGGTGTCATCCAGACTGAAGTTGTAGTCTTTGATCTTCAACAGTAAGTGCTTCAAGTCCTCTTCACTTTCAGCAAGCAAGGTTGTGTCACATGCATATTGAAGGTTGTTAATGAGTCTTCCACCAATTCTGATGTCACATTATTCTTCATATAGTCCAGCTTCTCAGACTATTTGCTCAGCATACAGATTGGATAAGTATGGTGAAAGGATGCAACCCTGATGCACACCTTTGTTGATTTTAAACTATGGAGTTTCCCCTTGCCCTTTTCAAATGACTGCCTCTTGATCTATGTACAGGTTCCACATAAGCGCAATTAAGTGTTCTGGAATTCCCATTATTCTTGATGCTACCCAAAATTTGTTATGATCCACACAGTCGAGTGCCTTTGCATAGTCAATAAAACACAGGTAAACATCTTTCTGGTATTCTCTGCTTTCAGCCAAAATCCATCTGACATCAGCAATGATATCCCTCGTTCCACGTCCTCTTCTGAACTTGGCTTGAATTTCTGGCAGTTCCCTGTCTATGTACTGCTGCAATCGCTTCTGAATGATCTTCAGCAAAAATTTACTTGCGTGTGATATTAATGATATTGTTCAATAATTTCCGCATTCTGTTAGATCATGTTTCTTTGGAATGGGTACACATATGGATCTCTTCCAGTCAGTGGGCCAGGTAGCTGTCTTCCAAATTTCTTGGCATAGACAAGTGAGGACCTCTGGCTCTGCACCCGTTTGTTGAAATCTCTCAATTGGTATTCTGTCAATTCCTGGAGGCTTGTTTTTTGCCAATGCCTTCCATGCAGCTTGACTTCACCCTTCAATACCATCGGTTCTTGATCATATGCTACTTCCTGAAATGGTTGTTTTTGGTACAGTGACTCTGTGTATTCCTTCCATCTGCTTTGATACTTCCTGTGTCATTCAATGTTTTGCCCATAGAATCCTATGAAATTGCCAACTTGAGGCTTGAATTTTTTCTTCCGTTCTTTCAGCTTGAGAAATGCTGAGCATGTTCTTCCCTTCGGTTTTCCAACTCTAGGTCTTTGCACATTTCATTATAATATTTTACTTTGTCTTCTTGAGCTGCCCTTTGAAATCTTCTGTTCAGCTTTTCAAAATTTTATTTCTTTATTTATTGTACTTCAGGTGAAGGATTACAGAATGAATAGTTTCTCGTTAAACAGTCAGTACACATATTGTTTTATGACATTGGTTAACAACCTCATGACATGTCAACATTCTCCCTTCTC